AAAATCCCCTTTAAAACCAAAAAAATCGATTTTTGGGCCTTATAAGCCCCTAAATTTAAAATTTGTAAAAATCTAATTTTTTACCCCAAGGTTTATGATACTAATTTAAAAGCAATAAAAGTAACATTGAATTAACAATTAGAAAGGCTAAATAAGTCTAAAATAAGAAGTTTCATAATTTCCCTTAATTTTTTTCATTTTTAATTAGACATTTTGGGTCCGCTATTGAAAATTTTTAAAAACTGATTTCAGATTCGTAATCAGGGACCACGAAAAGCCCTTCGAAACTAAGTCACACTAAAATCACTTTTAAAACCTAAGAAAATCTAATTTTGGGCCTTATAAGCCCCTAAATATTAAAATTTGAAAAAATCTATTAATTATTTTACCTCAAGTTTTATGATACTAAATTAACAGCAATAAAAGTAACATTGAATTAACAATTAGAAGGCTAAATAAGTCTAAAATAAGAAGTTTCATAATTTTTCTTAATTTTTTTCATTTTTAATTTGTCATTTTGGGTCCGTTATTGAAAATTTTTAAAAACTGACTTCATATTCGTAATCAGGGACCCCGAAAACCCCTTGGAACTAAGTTACACTAAAATCACCTTTAAAACCACAAAAAATCGAATTTTGGGCCCAAATTTAACTTTGGGCCCACAAGTTACCACATGTCTGAAAAGAGGAAATCACTGGCTACAAGAATCTGAGTTTGAAAATACTTGGTTCCATTTAAAAAATTTACTTTTTTGTCTGTAGGGCCCACATAAGGCCCTGGGCCCGTTTTTTAATTATACAATTTAATAGATTTTTTTCAACCTGACAACTTTTGTATACAACATTTTTCTCAAAAACTATTTCCTTTCAAGATATTTTGGGGGTCCGGAACATAAAAATCACCCTGTATAATATAAAGTATATGTTACACCCAAAATATATTGAAATTTTCTTAATTAAGTCGCCGGAAAGTAAAACCAAACATTAAATTCTGACTCCCATTGAATTAACATGGTCATCAGAATTTTATGTGTGGACATCAGATTTGTAATCAGCGACCCCGAAAACCCCCGAGTAACAAGTTTCAAGCGAATTGGACGATTTGTTTTTAATTCGGCCGCCATATTGGATCCGCCATTTTGAATTTTTCAAGTCTGACATCAGATGCGTAATCAGCGACCCCGAAAACCCCCGAGTAACAAGTTTTAAACGAAATGGACGATTTTTTAAATTTCGGCCGCCATATTGGATCCGCCATTTTGAATTTTTCAATTCTGACATCAGATTCGTAATCAGCGACCCCGAAAACCCCCGAGTAACAAGTTTCAAACGAAATAGACGATTTTTTAAAATTCGTGATTTTCATAAAATGAATATTGATTTAGATGCTGTGGAAAGCAAAGTTCATTTTTTCTTACATTCGATTTTTGTGACCATCGAGATATTCCGATACATTTTCATATGCTTTGCATGCACTGTCTTTTTTAAGAAAAGATAAAATCTCAAGTGTTACCGAGATTTTTTATTTATAAGATTCATTTGAAATGCATCAAAACACAGGTCTATATTCAGCCAAAAAGAATGGTGTGACTTGATGAGAAGTGCAAAAGTTCAAGATCCAATTTATGTTGTTAATGAAATGAATACTGAAGATTTTATTGATTTTGCGAGTCTTAGTGATAAAAAATTTTGGAAAAAAATAAAAGTTTATTATATAAAAGAAATTAAAATTTTTTCTAACAAAAAATTGCACATTAAGTACGAATATGAAGCTAATGCAAAAGAAATTGATATTAATTTTGATGAAGAAAAACAATTAAGTAACTGTTACACGGGAAAATTACAAGTGGACACTGCAAAAAAGGCAGATTTATGCAAATTAATGACTGATGAATTAATCCCTGAAAAATACCACGCCTTTTACAAAGAAATATTAGATTTAGATTAAATAGAGTACAGAGGTCTAAGTTGACAAAAGTTATAACTGTTTCTTTGTTTGTGATAAGTAGGCACTCAAGTTGATATTTACTTTTTGAGTTTATTTAAAGGTATGTTTCTCACCGCTTGCACGAAAAGGCATAATTTTCACGAGTTTCGTGAAACGGCATGTTTTTTATTTTTTTCTGAAAGGGCATCTTTTTCAACTTTAAGCTGAATCGGCATGTTCTTCCCCTCAAGCGACGAATTATTATTTCAGCAGGTATCATTTGAAAAATGTTGATAAAAGTGTATTTAGAGGGGTGTTGTTTATATTTTTAGGGGTTATTATTATTCTATTATTAAATTAGATTGTAAACATGTGCTATTTACAGTTGTTTTTTACGTTTAACTATTTTTTCATAATAGGGTTAGAATTCCTGAAGTGTAACAGCAAATTTTTAATTTTACTGTTTTTAATTGGCAATATGAAAAATGTAAACTTCATTATGAGTTTATTAAACGGTTAAAAGGATTTTTTGAAAAATTTAAATTTCTCTTAGTTATAAACAATTGAAGTTTTTTACACTGTTTAGTTAAAAAATTCATATCTTGGAATAGAATAGACGGATTTTAATGAACGACATATTTTTGAAAACCTGAAATACTGGAGTTTTAATTGAAAAAATAAAAAAAAATTTTGTTGCAAATTACTAATTGTTATTGTAAAATTAATTGTTTAACTGCAAAAGTAACCATATTCTCAACGTTTCAGAAAGAAAGAATAATACATTCCTTTAAAAATAAATTTAATGATTTTTACCTGATACTTCTTCCATTCTTTCTTGCAAATTTTCATTTTCGGAAATATTAGGAAAAGATTTTTTAATTTTAAATTTATCAGAGCCAATTCTGCATCTACATGAAGTGCATATGTATTGGCCTATGAGAGAACTGAATTCAGACTTCCACTCCTTCGTAACAAGCTTAATATTTTTGTAAATTGAATTATGGTTTTTTTCAATAACGGATTACAGCACTTATTTACAGGTACCATTTTTAATGTAAAACTGGATTAATAGTCAACATTAAAAAACATTTCACTTATTAAGAAAACAGACTTGTTGACACAATAATAAACACTCGAGAGAAGTTGATAGAAAATATCAATAAAAAATGAACAAAATATATTTAATTAAATGCTAAATTTATAATATTTAAATATTAAATGTTAAAAAAACAGTAAAATTGAAAATTTGCTGTTACACTTTAGGAATTCTTACCCAATATCTGTCATAAGAGTTATTTCTGACATAAGGGTAGTTTTTCAACCCTATCCCCAATATTTGGAACTTTTTAAGCGTGATTTTCGGATTCAGCAGGTCAAAATCAAACTTTGAGGCTGTGTCTACAACGGGAAAAAAATGTGTAGCGATCGTGTAGTGTAGGCCTGTCGCTATAGGCAAATACACAGGCCTACACTACACGATCGCTACACATTTTTTTCCCGTTGTAGACGCAGCCTGAAACTTTTTTGAAATTTCAAGAATTTGTTACACGTGTAACTGATACTTTGATATTTTTCGAATATTTTATAAACTTTAACAAGTGTAATTACACATGTAATTCTTACCTTAAAGATTTTTTTAAATTTCTTGTATTTTGGTACACATGTAATAGATACTTTTATACTTCCCGAATATTTTTTAAACTTTTTACACATGTGATTCATGCTGTGAAACTTTTTTGAAATTTCAAGAATTTGTTTACGTGTATAAGATACTTTGATATTTATTAAAGGGGCGGTACGAATTCAACACAAATAAACTCTACACAAGAAAATACTGCACCGCTAACTGTACACGAGTCAATTCTCAACAAAATTAAATAAAAATATATTCTTAACAATTAAATACTACATCGAAAAACCCTACACAATAAACTATTTACTAGAAAATTATCTTCATAAACTCTACACAAATAAACTCAACACATTAAGATTTAGAATTAGAAAAATGAAAACATTTTTTTATAATTGTACACAAATAAATACTACATCAGTAAATTCTACACAGCTATAAAAAATAAAAAATTGAATTCGACTCAATTAAATTTTACACATGAAAATAATATTATCTTTATTTCCGATAACCTATTTGTAAAATTCTACACAACTAAACTCAACATTTATAAATTCTACTCATCAAATAAAAATATTTTAATCCTACACAAATAAACTGTACACATTCAAAATTCAACACATTAAATGAAAATAATTAAATTCAAAAAGAGAAAACTCTACACAAGAAAATACTCCACCGCTAACTGTACACGAGTAAATTCTCAATAAAATAAAAATATATTCTACACAATTAAATACTACATTGAAAAACCCTATACAATAAACTATTAACTAGAAAATTATCTCCATAAACTCTACACAAATAAACTCAACACATTAAGATTTAGAATTAGAAAAATAAAAATATTTTTTTATAATTCTACACAAATAAATATTACATTCCCGTGTGAAAAAGGAATCTGGGCGCTAGCCGTGCCATGTTCAGGGAGCCCGACTTAAAGTTGAGAGCTAGTCATGCTATGGGAAGGGAGCCCAGACGTAACTTGGGCACTGTTTGGGCTTTTGGCTAGCTCCCGACCAGAAACGACACCCCAACTTATTCGGTGGCTATTTGGGCGAAATATCGAAGCGACCTACTAGGGCCCGACTAATATTATAAGGGCTTTTTGAAAATAATTTTTTAAATCAAATTCGTACTTAAGCTTGAATTTTATACGAGATTTCATATTCAGAAAAAAATGGAATGTCAAATTGACATCATGAAAAAATAATTGTTTGCACTAGGTCGTTAAAGAGCACCCTCTTCGAGGAAGACGTGCTCAAATTTCAATTTGATTTTTAAAAGTAAATTTAAGCTATAAAATACCTAAAAAATGATTTGAAAATTGTTTATGTCTTTGATTTTCTGTAAAAAAGGTTACGATAATAACGTGAAATTGGAAAATGTCATGAAATCGTTCATATATTTTTTTGCGTGAATGTCATTTTTGAGGGTTAAAAAACTTGGTCATCGCTTTCATAATCATGAATGGACAGGAGAAGAATCGACTTAAAAGCAGGAAAAGAAGAGCAATATCATTGGCAAGAAAGTGGATATCGGAAGAATTTTCGAACAAGAAAATATGTCTAGGTAAAAAAATATATTTATACACAAACTTTGTACAAGTTTTTGTAACCTTGAATTCTATTGAACCTTCTACATAATTGAATTTTACTTTGTTAAACTTGACGCGCATTTCTTTTCATTTTTATATAAAATAAATGTTGATAAACACAATAAGTATTAATTTTATATATTTTATTATAAATAGACTGTGTAGTTTGACGGAAAAGAATTTAATTTTGTAAGGTTTAAAAATTTTACTTTTTTATATTTTATACATTTTCTATATTTAAATGTTTTTTTTATATTTTTAATATTTTTTGTGCTCTAACTATGATGTTTGATTGAAACTAATCAAAATTTTTAAGATTAAAAAATTAGTTTTTCTACTATACAAAGAAATCAAATAATTTCTCGAAAAATTTTTAAGTATAAATTTTTTATTACCAAAAAATAATATTGAAGGGTTTATAACAATTTTTAATTATTATATTTTTTAGATATGGACATGTCCAATTCATCATCTGAAGAGGAAAGTAATTCAGACAAAATCGAAAAAAGAACGATTAGCAGCGAACTTGATGAAGGGGACGGAGAAGAAAAAGAAGAATCAGAAGAAGAAAGTGATGAAGGTGGCGGAGAGGAAAACGAAGAATCAGAAGAAGAAAGTGATGATGAAGATGTTGTGGATGAAATAGATGAAATTTTGAAGTTAAAAAATTGGGCCATAGAATGTCAAATTCATCAGAATGATTTAGATAAACTTTTAGAAATTTTGAGATTCAAGCTTTTGCCTAGTTTACCGAAATCGTCGAAAACATTTTTAAGAACAACAGATGCAGAATACAAGATAGAAGAAATGGAAGACTCAGAAGGAGGAATTGGTTCATTCGTTTATATGGGCTTGGAAAATGGGCTTAAAAATTGCGTTAATGAAAAATTGCACAAAGACAATGTCATAGAATTACAAATTCATGCCGATGGCATGCCGGTGTCGAAATCTGGAACTGATAGTTTTTGGGTGTTATCAGCGAAGGTACACTATGAGCCAGATGTATATGAACCTTTTGTAATTGGTATCTTTCAAGGGCAAAATAAACCAAAGACGCCTCAAGTATTTTTGGATCGGTTCGTTTATGAGTTTAACAGCTTGTATAAAAATGGATTGCATATGTCTGGCAAAACTTTTGAGGTTCGCATAAAATGTATAATTGGTGACACTCCAGCTAGAGCTTATTTAAAGAATACAGTTGGGCATAAAGCTAAATTCGCTTGTGAGAGATGTACTGTTGAAGGAAAGTCAATTAAAGGTACAACGGTTTTTCCCGATGCTGATAAATGTGAACGATCTGATGAATCTTTTCGTAAATTCGAGCAACCAGAGCACCATCATGGCCCGTCTCCTTTTTTGAGAATAGTCATGTTAATAAATATCATTTCTGTTTTCGTCCTAGATTTCATGCATTTATGCTGTCAAGGTGTCATGAAAAAATTACTTGAATATTGGATGTCTACTAACCGCAAATATAGACTGACTCTTGACCAAAGGAAACGGTTGTCAAAAAGACTTGAAGACATTAAATCAGAAATTCCTTGTGAATTTCAAAGAAAAACAAGAGGACTCAAGGGATATTTGAAGTTTAAAGCTACCGAGTTTAGATTTCTATTGCTTTATTCGGGTCCTGTAATTTTAAAGGGTTTACTGAAGGACGAACTATATAAACACTTTCTTTTGTTTCACAGTGCTTGCAGAATCTTAAGCTCAGCAAGAGTATGTTTAAAATATGCAAACGATGCAAAGAAATACTTGCGAACATTTTTTATTCAAATGGTACAATTATATGGCGCGAGATCATAGGTTTTGAACGTGCATCATCTATTACATCTTGCAGATGACGTTATATTTATGAAATGCAGTTTGAGTTCCGTGACAGCTTTTGCTTTCGAAAATCTATTAGGAAAATTGCAAAAATACCTTCGAACCCCATATCGACCATTGGCTCAGTTATGTCGTCGACTTTTCGAAGAGAAAGCATTAAAAAGAAATAAACCGGATGTACCTGCCTTGATTGAGATAAAGAAAACTTTAAGAAATGGAACCATAAAAGAAATTAAATACAAAGGAATGACATTAACCACATCTGCTCCGAACAATATTATAGTTTCAAATCATCAAACAATTATTCAAATTGAAAAAATTTTGGGAAATAGCCCTGAATCATTGAAAATACAGGGTAACGTTTGGAAAAAAGACAAATCGATTTATGATTATCCTTGTGATTCAGCCAATCTACAAATGTGGAAATTGCAAAACAATCCAACTAATACAGTCGTTATTCGTCCAATCAATGCCATTAATAATAAAATTGTAAAATTATCCGTCGCTTCGGAAAATAACCCTAAAAAAGTATACGCTATAGGAATGCTTCATTAGAAAATTTCATTAGAAAAAATCAGCTGATGCTTCAGTATTATTTTTTCAATTATTTTATTATTACAATGCACACTTTTGTACTGTCATTTATTTATCATTTATTCATGTAATTAAGAAAGAATCTTGATACATTTTTATGAATTGTTAAATAAATAGTTTTAAAATATTAAATGTGTAAATTTTCAATTTCTGGAATAAATATTTAGTTACACCATACAATTAATTATTATTAAACAAATTATAGATTTTACTGCTTGTCTAATATTATTTTAAAATATTCTAAACAATTTTTTTGTACAAATTTATTTTTAAATTACTTTAAAAATAATTTCATTTTTTTTTATTTTAAGAAAAATAAACAAATAAAAAATAAATTTAATAATTATAAATAATAATATTTACTATAAATAAATTTTAATGATATATTTATTTACATATAAATATATAAATAAATTTTTATTAAATATTTATGCGGACCATTTTTAAAGTTTCAAATGTTTATGTTCATAACTTCATAGATATAAGCATTCAAATGTTTCGTTGAATTCCGTCAGTACGTCAATGTCGTCAAAAGTGCTCAAAATAAATCAATCAAGAAAACGCGATAAATAATTTCTGAAAATGTCTGAATACATTTACGAACTAATACAGTTCGTACTTCGCGGTCCTCAGACAAAAAAGAAAATTGACATAGTTCCAAGAAAATGGCTGGATTCGAAAAAAGACAAGAAGAAAATTGTCACAAAATTCATGCCACCACCTTACACGGATGAAAAATATTCTCTTTTGAAAGATTTGGTGCAAAATTTGTGTGATCCGCCAGAAGATTGGCCAGAATATACCGTCAAAGTGAGAGGAGGAGCTAGTAAGTACAATTATTTATTTTTATAATTTTTTTATTTGTGAAATTTTATTATTTAACTCACTAATTTTTTTTAAAAAATAATTAAATTAATAAACAAATTAAAAATTAATTAAAAATTTTTAAATTAATTTAAAAATATTAAAATTCATTTTTGACATGTCAAAAATTTTAACATGTTATTTCTGTTAACTTTTTATATAAATTTATTATTGTAGGTTATAATTTTTATTTATTAAATTTGTAAAAATTTTCATCTAAGGGTCGTACGATGAAGCTGAACAACGTTTGCTTGAATTGGAAGTAAATGAATCCGCCTTCTCACTAGAAAGTGATAATCACACTCCCAAGGAAAAGGCATTAGAAGAGGAAAGAAAAATCAGGCAAAAAGAGTTGCTACTTAGTGCCGAGGAAGATAGATTGTTACATGCAGATTTTGACAAACATGCAGCCGAGGAAAGAGTATCAAACACCGGAGGAAAAATTAACAAAAATAAGTTGCAACTTAGTAAGAAAAAGAAATTGCTGAAAAAAACTGCTGATTCTTCTGACCGATCTTTGAAAACTGTAAATTCTGGAGACTTTTCAAAGCCTAGCACTTCGAAACTTGGTAAATTAAAACCCAAAGGTAAATATATAAATATATTCAATTAAATTGAATAAAATATATTATATACATATAGATGAAAAATAGTTGAAATAGTTGAATATTTTTCAATTAAAACGTTATATTTAAACAATTAAAAACGACAAATTTTTCTTACAATATAATTATGTAACATTAAATTACTAATTCGCATTATTGTTTTAATCGGTTTTAATTTTTGCTTAGTCAAAAACGGGCAGTCTTTACCTTCTAATAATGATGCACAAATTAAAGCTGATAAACTGAAAACTTTTCAAAAACAACAAGTTGATTTGGAACAAAAAGTAGAACAATTAGTTCAAAAATCAAATTTCAGTGAGCCCCTTTTTTTATATATATATATACACATTATAGTTTATGCGTGCAAATTTGAGTCTTATTGTCAATTTTAATCTTTAATTTAAGTAAAATTACTTTCATAAGTGTATTAATGCAAGTGTGGTGTAAATTTTACACATATTTATTCATATTATTCATATTTTTTAGAGCGGAAAGGCTCGCAGGAAAAATCAACTGATCCACCAAAGAAGGCCAAAAGATCTATTTCTGAAACGGGTAATTCATCTACCCATTTGAAGCAACATTCAATAGATAAAATTCTTAAGAATGGAAAAAAGTCAACTCCACCGACTGGTAATTTATTTATTCATAAAAAATAAATAATTAAATATAAAATTAAAAAATAAAATAAAAAAAGTTACTTTGAATAAATTGTTATATTCTAATATTTCAATAATACAAATATAACAATATGATAAATAAATATATACATTTATATAAAATTTACATATATTTTAGAAATTCGTCGCTCACGGGAAAAACCAGCTCAAAGTCAGAAGGATTTAAAGGGGCACAATTCTGCGTCTGGTAATTTATATGCACGTCAATATGAAAGTAATTTTATTACAATTATTATAATTTCATTTTATCTCTTAAAATCATCTTGCCTAAAATTTAAAAAATTCAAGTAAATTTTTTTTTGTATTATTTTTAAAAAATTTTAACTACTGGAAATTTATTTATTTTTTTTATTCATAAAAAATAATAATTGAATATAAAATTGAAAAATAAAATAAAAAAGTTATTTTAAATAAATTGTTATGTTCTAATATTGCAATAACATAAACATAACAATATGATAAATAAATATATACCTACATATATATAAAATTTACATGTTTTAGAAATTCGTGGCCCTATTGAAAATCCCCACATGGGAAACCACATGGGATCCTATGTCAAAAACTATGTAAAACCCCATTCCCCATATGGGAAACCACATGGGATCCCATATAAAAACTCATGGGAAATTGGGACAGGAATTGGCATAGGAAAATATCAAAACGAGGTTCATCCATGTCATTTCCTATGTCAAATCCCATGTCAAATATCATGTTAAATACCATGTTAAATACTAATTGAGATCCTTTATCACTTTTTTGAAAAATTTTCCCATGTCAAACCCCATGTCATTTCCCAAGTAAAAACCTTTATCATTTTTTTGAAAAATTTTCCAATGTCATTTCCCATGTGAAATCTTTTATCATTTTTTTGAAAAATTTTCCCATGTCAAATCCTCTTTCGCCTTATCGAAAATACCCACATAGGAAAGCATATGGGAATCCACATGGGACACCATATTGGAATCCACATGGGAAATGGAATACGATTTCATATGCATTCTTCCAAATGATAAAACAAATAGATTTAAGCATAGGAAATCATATAAGATTTCATATAGATTCTGAAATTTCAATCTAAGATTTCACATGGATTTACATATAGGAAACGATATAGGATTTTATTCGGGAATTTTTTAGTTGGCTGCTTTATGCAGGCGGCAGTTTACAAAAAAAAATTAATTATTTGATTAAATATCAAATAATAATACTTCAACTCATCTGAAAATAAAAAAAAGTTTACTTTACTTCTGCCTTAGACTCTCAGCTTTTATAGTATTCCAGACTGATCTCAACTGTGAGAGAAAATATTTTCACCATCTGGTCGTGAAACAATGAAACTATAATGACGATCAACATCTATATTGAAATTTTCTATGTCATTTCCCATGTCATTTCCCATGTGAAATCCTCTTTCATTTATTCGAAAAATTTTCCCATGTCATTTCCCATGTGAAATCTTATCATTTTTTCGAAAAATTTTCCCATGTCATTTCCCATGTGAAATCCTTCATCATTTTTTTGACAAATTTTCCAATGACAAATCCTCTTTCGCCCTATCGAAAATACCCACATGGGAAAGCATATAGGAATCCACAGAGGAAATGGAATACGATAAAGGATTTCACATGGCAAATGACATGAGGTTTGACGTGGGAATTGATATGGGAAAATTTTTCCAAAAAATAATAAAAGATTTCACATGGGAAATGACATGGGAAAATTTTTTGAAAAAAATGATAAAGGAATTCACATGGGAAATGACATGGGAAAATTTTTCGAAAAAATGATAAGATTTCACATGGGAAATGACATAGGAAATTTCAATATAGATGTTGATCGTCATTATAGTTTCATTGTTTCACGACCAGATGGTGAAAATATTTTCTCTCACAGTTGAGATCAGTCTGGAATACTATAAAAGCTGAGAGTCTAAGGCAGAAGTAAAGTAAACTTTTTTTTATTTTCAGATGAGTTGAAGTATTATTATTTGATATTTAATCAAATAATTAATTTTTTTTGTAAACTGCCGCCTGCATAAAGCAGCCAACTAAAAAATTCCCGAATAAAATCCTATATCGTTTCCTATATGTAAATCCATGTGAAATCTTAGGTTGAAATTTCAGAATCTATATGAAATCTTATATGATTTCCTATGCTTAAATCTATTTGTTTTATCATTTGGAAGAATGCACATGAAATCGTATTCCATTTCCCATGTGGATTCCCATATGGTGTCCCATGTGGATTCCCATATGCTTTCCTATGTGGGTATTTTCGATAAGGCGAAAGAGGATTTGACATGGGAAAATTTTTCAAAAAAATGATAAAAGATTTCACATGGGAAATGACATGGGAAAATTTTTCAAAAAAATGATAAAGGTTTTTACTTGGGAAATGACATGGGGTTTGACATGGGAAAATTTTTCAAAAAAGTGATAAAGGATCTCAATTAGTATTTAACATGGTATTTAACATGATATTTGACATGGGATTTGACATAGGAAATGACATGGAGGAACCTCGTTTTGATATTTTCCTATGCCAATTCCTGTCCCAATTTCCCATGAGTTTTTATATGGGATCCCATGTGGTTTCCCATATGGGGAATGGGGTTTTACATAGTTTTTGACATAGGATCCCATGTGGTTTCCCATGTGGTTTCCCATGTGGGGATTTTCAATAGGGGGCCCACGGGAAAAATCTGCTCAATCTCAGAAGAATTTAAAGAGGCACTACAATTCTACGACTGGTAATTTATATGCATATTATTATTAATATGAAAGTAATTTTATTAGAATTATTATAAATTCATTTTATAACTTAAAATCATCTTGCCTAAAATTTAAAAAAATTCAAGTAAATTTTACTGTATACTATTTTAAAAAATTTATAGATACTAAATTATTAGAAAAAATGTATCTTGATTTACAAACAATCAAAGTTGATGTGCAAGAATTAAAAGCAAATCAAGTCTTAGAACAACAGAGAAGACAAAAAACTGATATTGAAAGAGGCATCAAAGATGATTTTTTAATAAAATACGGTATCGATTTGCCGTTTAAAGATAAAAATGAATATGATGAATTCGGTCACACTCTGCTTCAAGACGACAATTATCGACTTGAATTCGTAATTATATTGGATATATTCTTTCATTGAATTCAAAAAATTTATCTGTACCATTTATTTACCAATCGGATCATTTATCTCTGGACTTAACCTTTAATTTATTTAAAAATTTAATTATCTGTTTATTTTTCTATAAAAATTTTATCCATTTACTTATATATATATATATATATATATTTAAATATTTACGTTTTTTTGGAAATTAAATTTACTCTAGTAAAGTTAAAGTATTTGTGTGATAAAAATAAAACAAATGCACAGCTACGTAGGCATTGTTGAAAGTATTGTTAGATACTTTATTCTGATATCCTTATAAATAAATAATTAGAAATAATGATTTTATTTTAAAAAATTTTTAATTATTTTTTCAGATGACATCGTTAAGCAAGTTCTTTGACAGATGTAATACTGCCACTCGGACAATCGCCAACATTTTAAAAAAATATTTAGGAGGAGGACTAGCCATTCAGTTTACGGCAATAAAACAAATGCCTAACAAATATATAATGAAGGACACGCCATTTTATGATTGTTTGTTAGGTAAAACACATGTTTTTAAAAATTAATTCTCTATAAGCTTTGAAACCAAAATACTTAGAAGTTTTATTTTTTATATTATATAAATTATATTTATAAATTTTTTTTATTTCTATTGACATCGTAATTTTAGTAACAAAGCTTTTCAGTAAATTTTATTGATTAAAAACTATATAATAGATTAGTTAAAATAAAATTAAAATATAAAATTTTAATTGAAATAAATTTAGAGAATATACAATGTTATTTGGAAAATTGAAAGGGGCTTTATGTCCGAAAGAAATTGATTTTTTTATTATTTAGTGATTCTGATAGAAGAAACTTTTTACATTCTCATCACATGAGAAAGTATTATAGTTTCTATCAGAATCACTAAACAATAAGAAATCATTTTTTAGGAGATAATAGGTAATAAATAATATGTCCAGGTTACAGATTTAATTTGTTGCTGAACTAATCCATTTTCCTAATTTGATAATTTTTTTATATACAAAATCTAAGATAAAATTATTTGAAAAATATGTACTTATTTATATTTAAAAGATGTACTTTTTTATAGGAGCGATTGTTGAAACCCACAAGGACAAAAGTGGGAACAAAATTACCCATGCCATGTTCGGAACATTTGTCGGAAATGTTTTGACAAACGCGAAAGATTGGTCAGGAAATAGAAAGAAAAGAATCACGAAGACTGTTATAGAAATCACAGATGAAGAAGACGAGTTAAATGAGGAAGACGAGAGAAATGAGGAAGATGGGGAAAATGAGGAAAATGGAGAAAGTGAAGAAGATGGGGAAAATGAGGAAAATGGAGAAAGTGAAGAAGATGGGGAAAATGAGGAAAATGGAGAAACTGAAGATGAGAATAATGGGGATATATAGAATTTAGTTCTTGAGTTATCGTTTATTTATGTTAAAATTTTTTTTATAATTTGAAATTAATTTAATAAAATATAATTTAAAATATTTATATACTCATCTTATTTAAAAAATCATTTCTTAGTAAACCTGTTCTTTTTTTTAACAATACAATATTAATAAAGTTTTTGTGCCAAAAATGTGCGGCTTTAAAATAGCGATTCAAATATATAAGTGTAATTGTAAAAAAAATGATGAAAATGTTCAATTTAGATTTTTTGGAGTAAACTGGCTGCTCAAAAACATTGATTAAAAAAAAATTATAATAAAAATTTAGTGACTTTGAAAACACAAAATGGTCATTTTGATCCAAATTTACATTAATTTCAATTTTTTCGATAAATTGAAGCCGCCATTTTGTTGAAATTTTTAAATTATGTTAAAAAAAATGTTCGGGTAAGTATTTGTAAACTGAGTATTTAACTTACAAATTTTGGTCGCCATTTGTAAGCCACTAATTTCAAATTTTCTTAAAAATTCGAATTCAGCATCCTCCATAAATCTATGAGTAAGTAATTTCAACCATTTCAATAATTTTGTACGCTATTTTGAAGCCAAAATAAAAGGAAATGCTAATTTCAATTAAAGATTCAAATTCTTCGATACTCAAAAATTTTATCAATATGA